GATCGCCTCTCATGTTAACCCCTTCCTGCCCAGTGCCATTAGTAGTGTCAGTGCTTTTTTTTTAGCACTGATCACTATATTGGTGTCACGGGGGATGTCAGTGACACCATGTCAGTTCCCCCCAGTGTCAGAATGTCTGCAGCAGTCTAGCTATATGAAGCTGATCGCCACCATTACTAGTACAATTTAAAAAAAATAAAATAAAATGCCCAGTATATATACCACCATTTGTAAACACTATAACTTTCACGTAAACCAATTAATTTACACGTAAAATACATTTTGGCCTAAATTTATGATAACATTTGATTTTAAAAAATTTTTTACTGGACATGTTTAGTAGTAAAATGTCAAAAATATAGTTTTTTTCTCAAAATTGTCTGCTTTTTTTTTTCATAGCGCAAAAAATAAAAAACGCACAGGTGATCAAATACCACCAAAAGAAAGTTCTATTCATGTGGAAAAAAAGGACATAAATTTCATTTGGGTGCAGTGTTGCATTACCATGCAATTGTCGGTTAAAATAACGCAGAGCCGTAACGCACAAAAAATATTCTGGTCAGGAAGGGGGGTAAATCCTCAGGAGGGAAAGTGGTTAATTTATCTTCATAGATTTCTTGAGGGAGATTGTTGATAAATATTTCTGTCCTTAGTGGAGGAGCTTCTCCGACCCAGTCTGCAGGAGGGCCACCATATTTCCTCTGACCATAAACCTGTACAAGATTAATATTACACCTTTCCATCCACTCAAGAAGGGAAGCTTTATTGTTTTTATTCAGAGAATTAATCCCAGCCTCGCTCTCAGCATTTATCACGTTATTATCCATCATCACAGAATGGACCCGCTCTCTCCATGTGATCAGACACTGAACTGAGCTCCCCTCCAAGCTCCGACCAGGAGAAGCAGACAAATCCCCAGTCTCCTCAATAGACTCTGCTGTGGACTAGCATACCGAGGTACAAGACTGTCTTCCTTTGGTATTTGAGGCACATAACTCAGCAATACCTTGTAGTGATGCCTCCTCTATGGGCCATTATCAGTGGGTAGAAGGCTAGCCCTGTGGCAGGCGCAGCACCCTTTGGTGCCTAGTGCGCTGTGGCATTAGGAAAATTATGCAATAGCTGTTTCTTTGTTTGATTAGATCGACTTTACTCTGTAATTCCTCCAATGCCGCTCTATGGATGCAGTAGGTTTAAAGAGCACACCGAATACTTTAGTTAACTTCTTTAATAACTTCAATCTTCTTCATATAACACTGCTTATAATGGCTTATTTCTTTCATATTACAATGGTTTAATTCGTATTACATTGGGTTGATTCAATAGCTTATCTCAATAGATTCGTTAGCTTATGTTGTTAGATTAATTCGTTAAATTCGTAAATTCGATAGGTTCGATTATGATTACTCTACAGTGACTTGATTCGGTGGAACTACAAGTAAACACACACAACAGTTTTTAGACACAGATCTACCTGTACTGTTAAACAATAGAGGAACACACAAGTGCATTAAATACCTATTTGGCCTTCTCTGTTTCCATGGAGCTTCTCCGATTGGAACTTTGTCTGTTTCCTCTTCTGTCTGGTGAGCATGTGTCTCTAAATATTCTAGCAGGGAGTTTTACACAGGCATAAATGTGAAACTGGCTGGGATTGGTTAAGGCTCTGTACAGTATGAGGCTATCTGTGATTGGCTCAATTCTATACTAACTCTTAAAAGCATATTTTCCTTTTCTGCTTCTGCTAACACAATGAATATATAAAATGTCATATAACAATCAAAGACATAAATTACAGCAATGATTCTGCTTTTGGCTTTAACATATACACATATACACTGTACTGAGGTTATTGGCAGGTTTGGTATACACATATATGTGAACCATATTAGCAACCTAGGACGGTCTTAGCTGGCCAGCTACAAGCCCCTAGTCCCCTCCAAAAGCCCTTGTCCCGGTTGGGTTTGTCACAACGGCATATACAGGTTCCGGGAAAACGTCGTCTTTGCAGGACTGAGATTGCGCTCTGCAGTCACTTTTGCAGTAGTTGTTTTCTTGTTCCAGATCACAATCCTGAGCAATGTTCTTTTGTCTCTTTTGGTCAGCTGACCATGTCAGATGATGCTTATCAGACTACGTTTTCCTGAAAACTGTATATGCCGTCATAACCTTTGATACTGTACCGTGTGACATGGCAAATAAATTGGCAACTTCAGTTGCAGAGGCACCAGCTAAGCGGCACCAACAATTTACCTTCTTTGAAGCTCAGTAAGCTCTGACATGACTCCGTATTACTAGCAGTGCATGCAGTGGATTATGAATGTGAGGCTTTCCACCTGTTAGCTAGGTGTCTCATCACACAAGCGGAAGCAAAATATGTTACATCGCCTCTGTTTTCAACGTAAAACATGTCACTTTCCAACCTGCAAATCATGTAGTGTTTCCATTTTTTGTCTAGCGCTTATATATCTATATCAAGTTTCACATGACTGTCATATGCCTTTAAGTGTTCTCTGTATTTTTTCTCTGCTCCTCCCTTTCCTTTGGTTTAATTCATGCTGTATAGATAGCCCACCCCTTTCCCAGTAATGCATTTCAGCTTCTAGCCTCATGTCATGAAGCAGATCACATTATGACCTTTTGACCTATCCGATGTTCATTGTAAGATTCTCTCAGTTTATGGAATAAACTTCACAAGATCTATAAGGTGTCATCTGATCGAGTCACTGCCTGTGTTATTCAACTAAGATTGGAGTTATCGCTATCTCATCATAACTGTAAGTTACAGAGATCACACTATCAATGCTTAGATTGGAGAGACAGAACAATATATATCTATATATATATATATATATATATATATATATATATATATATATATATATATATATATGATTTTCATATATAACATATAAACATTCTTCAGTATTCCAAACGAGCTGTTTATAGCAAGATACTTATTTCCTTAAATCTCCACACTGACAACATATTTACTGATCATGGCATGATAACAAGTGCTTGCTGTAGCTCTACTTGAATCCAGTTTAAATCTATAGACTATGAAGAACAGCTGGTAAGCACTGTACAAGTATCCAACTACACCAATAAGTAAGTCCAATGGAGACAGGCAGCAATAAAAACTTGACAAGGGGATCTAACCCATCCCCACACTATCCAAGGCTAAGACAAAAAGGTTTTCCTAGAGATAGCCTTTAAATGCTCATTTTGTCTAGGGGGTGATGGATAAGGAGAATTCCTTATTCCTATGCTGTCTCCTCTGCTATCCCATGCTCCCTGAAAGTGGGCTGGTCCCTTGATATTCTTATGTACAAGGGTTCTTTAAAAAGTTTATGCACTTTTTTAACTCTATTAAGAATTTTAAAAACTAAGTGACAACGCTGCAAAATCAGCCAGCTTGCCAGACAGACTAGTCACATGATACTCTCAGACACAACCAATTACTTCTCCTCCCGCCCTCACTGTTTCCAACGAAAATATAAAAGTGTGGAAACTTTTTGAAGACCCCTCGTACAATACAGGACCACTGGTCATAGATGATGTTGGATAGCTGTGACCAATTGAGCAATGAAGGGAAGCAGCTTCAGGGGACTGGTCTTTTGAAGAGGAGGAAGCCTGCAGTGGTGGGGAATAAGGAAAATGTATCACTTTATTCAACAAGCTGTAGACAAAACCAATTTAACCCCTTGTAGTACAGAGGTGAGCTTAATGCGAGAGTGACTTTCTCCAGCCCAGAATCCTGCTTTAAAATGGTCTATGAAATAAAGAGGCCAGTACATCACTAGTCCAGATGTCAAAATGAATATGATATATTTTTTGTAATAAAATAGGCAGCATGGAAGTGGTTTCATTATTGGTGTAAAAACATTGTCAACTTGTTGATAAGACTTTTTGAAGATGATGACTTTATGCCCCTTCTGTGGTATTAATTAAAGTAGAAATCAGAAGTGACATAAGTGTTTAAGTGATCTAAGCTATTTGATAATTGGATAGTATCTGTTAGCAAATGTATATAAACAGGTAATCTTGGACCCCAAAGCAAATTCAACGCCAACAGCAAAAAAAGTAAGTGCCGAGAGAAGGACAGCCAAGTCTCATGAACAGTCAAAATCATGTGACAGCCTCTCCTCCAAAAAAAGGAGTTCTTTTGGTAGCATTTGGTAGAGAGAACGTGAGGTTGTGGCCTATTGTGCTAGTGCACATGGGGGAACTTTCTTTGTGAGTGCGCTCTACAATGCCCAGGACCAGGTTGGACCGCTTACATGATCGGGTAACTTTGTTTGTGGGTGTGCTCTACAATGCCTGTGACCAGGTTGGACCGCTTTCATGATCAAGCGATACTATGTTGGCACCCCATTTAGAGATAAGCTATCCACTGTATGCAGCTACGTGACCTACATTGTCCCTCTGTGAATGTCACGTGTCACTGCAAATCTTGATGATAAGTGTTTGCAATTAAACGGGACACCTCTGAGCCCATGGCCAATCCACCAGTCCAGTGTACCTCAGCCAGCTCACTCCCAGTGAGAGAATGGGGTCCTACCGAACACCTATGTGGATCTCATGCGTGCTCTCAGTAAAATCTTTACACTCTTCCATACCATGAGGCTAGGCCATGGATATCCATAATGCGGATTCAGTCCCGAACACTGGGAAATGACCACTGGGGAGGGAGTCAGCGCACCGACCCCCTCGCTACTGAAGAACCCTCCACTTAACGCCAGGTACTACGCCTCTGACTGGCTACTGTACTTCACACTAGTTACTGGTTACTCATAGCAACTGCTTTACTCCTTTGACTTGTCTTGTGTTGAGTTAACCTTTAGTAGCGGCCTTTCTTCATACCCCCATATGTGCTGACAGGTCCTGTTCTTTTATACGCCAGAAACCATCATGCACTCCCAGGGGCAGACTGACCATTTGGAAACTCGGGCACTGCCCGAGGGCCCGGGGTCAGTGGGGGGGGGCCCCATGAGATGCACCTGGTACCTTTTTCATAGGCTTTTTTGAGTTTGGGCAAGGGCACAGGGGCCCCGTGATCCCCTATTGCCTGGGGGCTCCATGAGTTGTCAGTTCGCCTTAAACAGGAAACAGCTTTACTGAAGATTCTGCAACAAAGTTCAACAGCACACATAAAACAATACAAATAAGCCCTAAATAACTAATGCAGGTTTCCAGGTTCACACCTTCCAGCGAAGCAAAGTCTATTCAGCAAAAGTCAATTGATTATAGATTTCTGGTCCAGACAGAATCCCATCAGGGGGCCATGTGCTCCAACAAGACTTACATATTGCAGTAGAGCTTCCTTTGATATCCCATATAAATGAGCATGAGGGCTCTGAGCCCTCTTTATTTATGTGGCGTACAGCAGGGGTAGGACTCTGAAAGCCCGGGAAAAGAGCCTTAACACAGTTAACCCTTTCCCATCCTGGGCAGCCTGTAACTGTCTGTATAAGTACACAGTGCAATGAATACAACAGCAGAAATACATACAATGACACCCCACAAGCCCCTGCTTACAAACTCATCACACAATCTACAGTGCAGGCTGCATTTTATGAATGGGGTGTAAAATGCAGGCTGAGGGTTTACCAGTGAGTTGCCAAGCTGAGGGCAGATAGCAAATTCTATTCATCACTTCAAATCAGGTCCCTGCTGTCTTTTACATTTGACTTTCTTTGATAATATCTTCTATGTTGATAATATCCTAAAAGCATACTTATTTTCTTCTGTAATTGTAAAAAAAAATACTTCTACACTATAAAGTTTTTTGTTTTTTTTTTTCATGTCCATGAGTCATTGTTGTCTGTTGAACTGAGGAGGTCAGTGACCATCTGAGGGCCTTTCTAAAGTTCACAGTGCTCTACAGTGAATCCTAAAATAGTTATTTATTAATTGCAACAGGTACAGCATTCCTTCTAATGCACCAAAATTAACATCTAGAAAAAACTAACACTTCCAGGATATTATAGGGCAGTGGTCTCCAAACTGCGGTCCTTTGCTTGCTTTGATCTGGGCCTTAAGGCACCTTTGCTCCCACTGATATAAGACACTATTCCTCCCACTGACACTAACAATGGGGCATAATTCCTGCTACTGACATCAGCAATAGGGCCCACTGACACCAACAATGGGGACCTATTTCTCCCACTGATACCAACAACAGGGCACTATACTTCCCACTGACACCAATGATGAGGCACTCAAACTGACCCCAACAATAGGGCACTATTCCTTCCACTGACACCAGTAATGGGGCACTATTCCTCCCCCTAATATCAAAGATACATTGTTTACTCCCACTGGCACCAGGACAATTTCCACTCCCAATGGCCACAGAACGCCCCCCTAAAGTCTGAAGAACAGTACACTGGCACTTTGTTTAGAAAGTTTGGAGACCCCTGTTATAGGGTAATAGATAGGCTCTTTACATCACCCCCCACTAGCACTGCCCCCGGCTTAAATCACCCCCCCACAGCACTGCCCCCTTTTACATCACCCCCCTCCCACAGCACTGCCTCCCTTCACATCCCCCCATAGCACTGCCCCCCTCACATCACCCACAACCCCTTTACATCACCCCCCCACAGCACTGCCCCTCTTTACATAACCCACCCCCACTTCACTGCACAGCCCCCCCATTTACATCACCCCCCGCTGCAGTGCCCTCCCTTTACATCACCACAACAGTAGTGCGCTCTGCCCTCCCACAGCACTGCCCCCTTTACATTACCCCCTCCCACAGCATTGCCCCATTTACATCACCCACCCCCCACAGCACTGCCCCCCTTTAACATCACCCCGCTCCCACAGCACTGTTCCCCCTTTACATCACCCCCCACACACACTAGTGAACCCCTTTTTCACATCCCATCCTACCCCCACTGTAGTGTGCTCTGTTCTCTTGACATCCAGCCAGCCTTCCCCTCAGCACTGACCCATTTCAGCTCAACCCCCCCCCACTTCCCCCCCCTCCCGCCCATGAGTGTCCTCTGCCCCCCCCCCATTCACTCTCCTATGTGAACTTATCCTTTAACCAAATTCAAGTTATCAGCAAACTCCTTCCTAAAGGGATACTTCACCTTTACCACAAAGCTGCCTATGCAGGTAAGGGGTGTCTGTAGATAAAACCAAACTGAGCAGCTCTGACTGAAGTTGAATAATGCCCTTGCTATAGGTGTAGGCCATTTCCCTATCTCATAAAGCTGGACTGGATAACTCCCAGACGTTGATAGGTAAGGCCTAGTCAATCCTGCTCTCCTCCGCCATCACAGGAGTGAGCTCTCATACGCTGAGTTCTATATCAGAGGGAAGAGAGAGCATGTGAGGCAGGGGCGGACTGACCATTTGGAAACTCGGGCACTGCCCGAGGGCCCGGGGTCAGTAGGGTGCCCCATGAGATGCCCCTGGTACCTTTTTCATAGGCTTTGAGTTTGGGCAAGGACACAGGGGCCCCATGATCCCCTATTGCCCGGGGGCCCCATGAATTGTCAGTCCGCCCCTGATACGAGGGGCTTTGATTCAGAGACAAAGCTCACTTCTGTGATGGTGGGGGTGAGCAGTGATGACTAGGTCTCACTTAGCAAAGTCTTGGGAGTATTCCAGTCAGGCTTCATGAGGAACATATATGGCCTACACCTACAGCAAGGGCATTGTTCAACTTCAGTCAGAGACACAGTTTGTTATTATCCTCGACACCCCTTATCTGCATAGGCAGGTTTCTGGTAAGGGTGAACTAACATTTTCAATTAATTCTGAATGGATAAATATTTAATTTTTTTCTATTTATATTTTTTGTTACTCAACCCCAACCATCCAGATATAAGCCACATCCCAGATAAAGATGGCTGTTTTCACCACTGCAAACAATACAGGCACAGTACAGGCAATATGGAGCTTCCTGGTGAGGGACAGTTTCTGTTCTATAGGCCTCATTCATACCATATGTGCAGAAAAACTGATGGAAACGGAAGCGCAGACATCAGTTTTCATGCGAACCTCAATGAGTTTCATACATGTTGCAGATTCCTGCACAGAAACAAAATCTACACGTGATACTAGTGTTGTAGTGTGAACAGGGCACATAGAGAACCATTGATTTCATTGTGTCCTTGCAAAACATGTGCAGAAAAACTGAGGTCTGTGCACCATGGTGTGAACGAGCCTCACATTGTCTGGCAGTTGATGTTTGTCTTCAGTAAATCAAGCTGAATGACAATCAAAATACGTTCCTACATATCTGTATGTGTATGTGTCTTGCTTGAAAGTAAAGTGGAAAATAAATGAACAGATAGAAAACTTTTCTGACAATCTTCTGATGGATTACTCACCATAGATTTTCAGGTGTGCATTGGGATCACTTTGATTATCTGCTTGTATCCTCACTGTGTAATCTCCCTCATCAGAGATATTTAGGTTGGAGATCTGTAGAGATCCATTGGGGAAAGGTGTCATCCTATCACGGATGTACAGACGTCCAGGAATTATTGGATTATCACCAGGGATATATGTAAGGATTTGATGTTCTCTGTCTGTGGTCGGTCCTTTATACCAAGTAAAAGACTGAATTTTCCCTGTAATCCCAGTAACACTCAGAGTGACAGATCTCCCGATGACCGGATACCGAGGGATCACCTCAATACTCATCATTCCACTGGACATATCCACCAACACACCGAGGAGAACTGCAAGAGAAAGTGACAGATAAGAAAGTCAGTGAGATTGTATGCTGCTTGAGGGTTAGAAACTGATGTGTATGTACAATATACAGTTGCAAGAAAAAGTATGTGAACCCCTTGGGATTACGTGGAGTTTTGCATGAATTGGGCATAAAATGTGCTCTGAACGTCATCTAAGTCACACAATAGAAGAACACAGTCTGCTGAACATAATATTACACAAACATTAGATGTTGCCATGGTTTAATTGCACATAACATGTAAACATTCACAGTGCAGGGAGGAAAAAGTATGTGAACCTTTGGACTTAATAACTGGTTGACCCTCCTTTGGCAGCAATAACCTCAACCAAACGTTTCCTGTAGTTGCAGATCAGACCTGCACAACGATCTGGAGTAATTTTGGACCACTCCTCTTCACAAAACTGTTTCAGTGTAGCAATATTCTTGGGATGTCTGGTGTGAATTGCTCTCTTAAGGTCATGCCACAGCATTTCAATCGGATTGAGGTCAGGACTCTGACTGGGCCACTCCAGAAGGCATATTCAGTGCTGTTGCAGCCATTGTTTTGTTGAATTACTTGTATGCTTTGGGTCATTGTCCTGTTGCATCACCCATCCTCTGCGGAGCTTCAGTTGGCGGACAGATGGTCGTACGTTTTCCTGCAAAATGTCTTGATAAACTCTGGAATTCAATTTCCCATCAATGACAACAATCCGTCCAGGTCCTGAGGCAGCAAAGCAGCCCCAAACCATGATGCTCCCTCCGCCATGTTTTACAGTGGGGATGAGGTTTTGATGTTGGTGCGCTGTGCCTTTTTTTCTCCACACATAGTGTTGTGTGTTCTTCCCAAACAACTCAATCTTGGTTTCATCTGTCCACAGTATATTTTGCCAGTAGTGCTGTGGAACATCCAGGTGCTCTTTTGCAAACTTCAAACGTGCTGCAATATTCTTTTTGGACAGCAATGGCTTCCTCCGTGGTGTCCTCCCATGTACTCCATTCTTGTTTAATGTTTTCCTTATTGTAGATGTGTCAACAAAAATGTTAGCATGTGCCAGAGATTTCTGTAGGTCTTTAGCTGACACTCTGGGATTCTTCTTTACCTCATGCAGCATTCTGCGCTGTGCTCTTGCAGTCATTTTTACAGGACGACCGCGCCTAGGGAGAGTAGCAACAGTGCTAAACTTTCTCCATTTGTAGACAGTCTGTCTTACCGTGGACACATGAACATCAAGGCTTTTGGAGATACTTTTGTAACCCTTTCCAGCTTCATGCAAGTCAACAATTCTTGATCGTAGGTCTTCTGAGAACTCTTTTCTGCGAGGCAAGGTTCACATCAGACAGTGCTTCTTGAAACCAATAAACCCAAAACAGGTGTGTGT